CTATGTTATCTTGAAACGACATTCCGTGTGCCTATACCTTAATTTGAAAAGCTAGTCTTTCATTATAACACTGAATTCAACAAGAGTTCTTTAGAAGATTTAAAGCAGTAAGAGAGTAAATAGAGGAACATTCTGACAAGTTTGGAAGTGACCCCTTTCAGAAACAGGATGGACTTCCAAATTTGCTGATTTATTAATTGAACATTTATTGGATGCTTCTGCACCAGACACTGACAGCACAAAGATGAACAGATTTCTGGCCGGTCTGTGGCTACACAAAACTGATGTTTATTGACCAGGCTGGTTTAAAACTCGTTCTGGTGGTTATTTGTTATTACAGCTACAGAATAGTCAGTCTTAGGTATGTGAGAATTTCTTTTTATTCTCAGTATGTATCAAAAGTTGCAAAAATAGTACACAGAAATCCTGTGTACCCTTCAGTCAGCTTTGCTAAATGTTAAAATCTTACTTAAACATAGTCCAGATATTGAAACCAGGAACTTAACATTGATACAATACTATTAACTAATCTACAGATGTCATCAAATTTCACAGTTGTCCCTTCTCTGGCCCAGGATCCAGATCAGAGCACCATGTGTCTCAGTGTCCTGTTGCCTTGGGTCTTCTCTAATCTGGGACAAGTCCTCAGGCTGTCTTTGTCTTTGATGACCTTGACCCTTTTGAAGAACACTGGCTGGTTGTACCGTGTTCCCCAATTTGGGTTTGTCTGTTTTTTTTTTTTTTTCCATGATTATATTGAGCTTATGCATTTGGGGAAGAGCACCACAGCCAAGGTGTTGGTTTTCTCACTGCATTTTAGCAGGAAGTCTTCGATGATGCTATGACTCATTTTACTGGCGGTTTTAACTTGGATCGTTTGATGTAAGGTGGTGGCCAGGTTTCTCTGTTATAAAGTTATTATTCTCCCCTTTGTAGTTAAGTAATATCTTCTGGGGAAGTACAGAGACTGTGCACATACTCTGTTTCTCATTGTATTTTCACCCACTAATCTCAGCATCATTGGTGATTCTTTTTTGCAGTATTCATTACTGTAATTTTTGCCAAATGGTGAGTTTCTGTTTCTACCCTTCCTTCTAGGGTTTTTAAATTGGAAGTCTACTGTAAGAAAGAGCTGCCCACACCACATTGTTTATGAGGGTCATCTGTGTAGTTCTGTGAAATTGTACTTTTGTTTATTTCACTGCTCACGGTCTGGCCAGCTAATCCTTCTCCTGTCAGGGTTATCAGATCTTCATCCAGCTCAACTTTTCAAAAACGTTTCCTGCCCCTCCCCATCAGTAGTCCCTTAGCATGTGGGTATCTTGGTGCCCATAGTTGGAGGTAAGACTGAGGAAGTTAGTTGTTGGTGGCATTAATGTTAATATATTACTTAGTGGAAGCAAAAGGATGGTTTTATTTGGGGCATGTTGTAGTTAGCTGCTGCTCAGAAATCCATGGAGTGGCCTAGAGCAGAGACGTGGAAATGTGTCAGGACACAGCCAGGCTCTTAGAAGAGCAGCAGAAGTATGAGGAAGACGGTGAGTTTCACGGAGGAGAAGGGAGTGGCGATGCTGGTACGAGCGGGCAGATAGGCTGTGGGCTTCAGGTGCTGCGGCGTAAGGGCTGGGGTGAGGTGTTTGGACTGGAATTAAAGTGGGAGGCCTCGAACAAAGTTTCCGTAGGGTTGTGAGGGGGAATATGCTAGACGGTAGTGGGCTGAAGCAGGGACCAAAACCCTTAATACGATCTAAAGACCTTGCCCACCCCCATGACCAAGATCAACTTACATTCCTCTCTGTTTCTAAGCACAGGTGCCTTCTCTTAGTTTCATTCTGCCTCTGGGCATTCAGGCATGTTGAAGTGGAATCCCAGGTCTGCCTACTAATAGCTGTGGCACCTTGGCAAAATTACCTAATTCCTAAAATTCATTTCTCCCCCATCTATGAAAATTGGGTGAACTAGTAACCTGGTCACTATTTCTGGCCAGTCCCCTCCTGGCCGCCCTTTGGTGCCTGTTGTCTGCTCTACCTAGTACCACCTGGCTAGGCCTCAGTAATGCGATGTTACTGCTCTGGCCATGCTGCCCCTGGTGCTTCCTCTCTCACTGGGATGGGCACCACCACCATGATGAGCAGAGGGTCCTGTGAGATCTGCAGGCTCCTGATCCCACGCAGTTTACTCATTGCCCTCGGTCAGTGGCTATAGCTGCATTTGCCCCCAAGCACCCTCTGGCCTCAGGGCCTTTACACACACCCCCGCCCCCCCACCCCCACACCGCACATAACTGCATAACTCCCTTTAGATCTTCCTTCAGGTATCGCTGAGTCAGTGACCTTCAGCAGCTCCCTTTATCAAATAGTGCTTCATCATTTGTTACTCGCCTTATTTGCTTTCATCACATTACCTGCCACCTCAGAGATACGTACGTGTTTGCTGTCTGCCTTCCATCACAAAAGTAGAGACTTTGTGAAGGCTGGTACTCCGTGCCTGTTTTACTCACTAATGTCTTCCCAGCCTCTCAAGCTGTGCCTGTAGACGGCTAGTGCCGAAGTAAATCTTTGTTGAGTAATGACTGATGAGGCAGATAAACCGTCAAGATGGTTGTGATGGTGTGTGCAGTGACAGCTCACTCACTTCTCCTGGCGTCCTGATGAGAAAATTGAGGCACAGAGAGGTGATGGCAGACAGTGAACAAGTGATGGAGCCAGAATTCAGGCGCAGGCGGTCTTGATCCAGAGCCCACATTCTTTCTGCTTCTGTGGGATTGTTGCTGATGAAAAGAAGTCATCTGGTTAAAATGCTTATCACAATTTCTGTCATATCCTGAGTAGTCCCTAAACGTTAGTTGATGTCATCATCAGGATGCTGGATGTTAAGAGCATGGAGGTGGAGCCAGGCTGCCAAATGTTTGACTTTTGGACCAGTTTTGTTTTTTTTTGTTTTTTTTGTTTTTAAACCGTTAAAATGGAGTAACATTAATACCAAAGCCTCCTGCAGCCTGTTTGATCCTGGAGCTTCCAGCCTGGGAACTGGTTGCTTGCTTTTGCCAGCATTTGTTCACCTGGTCTGCTGAATGTAAATAAGTACACTTTTGTTCTTTGATTATTATGTTGATTAAGAGAAATGGTTCATATAAGGTGCCTGGTAAGTCCTAAACTCAAAATAAATGAAACCTATTGTGCTTCTACAAGTAGTTGCCCAATGTAAAATATCTGCAGTAAGTTATTGGAACTCCTTCAGAGAGCAAAAGTACAATGGAACCTCATTGTTTGGCAATTGTGTCTTTTAATAAGACGGACACTTAAAAAATCTCAGCAGAACTTGTGTATGTGTATCTTGCATTTTTTCTACCCTTAATTGAACCAAAAGAATTGTACTAATTACTTTGCATTGTTTTCCCTGTGAGCCTAATACATTTTTAGAAGATCAGTTTATGAAACTTGTAGAAAAAATTCATATCTTTATAACCTTTGTGTAGGCAAATATTTTATAAACAAAACACTAAGATAATTTATTAAAAAGAAAAGGAATAAATAGGACTGCATAAAAATCACAAACTTCCTTCCTCAAAAGATACTGTTAAAATAAAAAGATTTTAAAAATAATTTTTAAAAGGTACCATTAAAATAGTGGAAGGCAAGCCATAGAGTGGGAGAGGATATTCACTAGGTCTAACAAAGGCCTTACGTCCAGAACATGTAAAGAATACCTACAGGGCTTCCCTGGTGCAGTGGTTGAGAGTCCGCCTGCGGATGCAGGGGACGCGGGTTCGTGCCCCGGTCCGGGAAGATCCCACATGCCGCGGAGCGGCTGGGCCCGTGAGCCATGGCCGCTGAGCCTGCGCGTCCGGAGCCTGCGCTCTGCAATGGGAGAGGCCACAACAGTGAGAGGCCGGCGTACCGCAAAAAAAAAAAGAATACCTACAAATCAGTGGTGGGGGTGGGGGTGGGGGTGGGGGGACGACTCAGTAAAAAAGGGACAAAAGCTTTAACGGACACTTCACAAAAGAAGATATAACCAAAAATGCTCAATTATCAAATGAAGAAGTGCCCATTGTGTTACTCGTCAAGGAAGTACTAGTTCAAACCGCTGTGTACTCTTGCTGTAACTATCAGAGGTCCTAAAATGAAAAGGTTAGGAGTGCCAAGTGGAGGTGAGGAATAGTGGAACCGGAGCGCCCCGTGCTGCTTGTGGGAGTGTACGTTGGTACAGCTCTTTGCCTTACCCTTTGGTCACATCTGTGCTGCCTAATGTGTGTGTTCGTTAGGATCCAGTGACGATACTCCTGGTCTGCATCCAGCAGAGATGTGTACATGTGTTCACCAAAAGGCATGCATGTGAGTGTTCATACCGGTGGACACACACATACACAGAATGAGGCACAGAGAGAGCATTCTGGTGAAATTCGTTTGTTTTGACCATTCTTGAAGTTTGGCTTCCTGAGCAAAATTACTTTCTTAGAGGAATATAAAGAGTGCTCGTAGCATTATTCTTAATAGCCCCAAGGTGGAAACTACTCAAACGGCATCACAGTAATGTGGATGAATGATTGTGGTCTATCATACAGTGCAGGACTGTCAGCTATGAGCAAACTGCAGTTACTCGATAGGGAGGAGTCTCACGAGCGTATTGGTGAATGAAAGAAGCCAGACACACGAGAGTACATCCTGTGTACCTCCAGGCATGCAGAGCTCACCTCTGGGCAGTAGAAGGTGGTGCTGCCCCTGGGCAGTGGGGCTGGAGGGACTTCTGGGCGCCCTCTGGGCCTCTCATCAGGCTCTGTCTCCTGCAGAATCCTCGAGCTGTAGCGTACTCACATGCACGTTTTTGTGCTGAAAAAGAAAACATTTACATTGACAGATTAATTGATTATATTTTAACTTATTTTTAAAATAATATTTCAGAGTAATTGGCAGTGCCATACTCAAAATAATTTTGTAGACTATGAATTGAGAAAATGACTTATTTCTAATTGCTTTATTTTGTTAATTATTTTTTAGATATGAATTGAGAATTCGTTATTTGCCAAAAGGATTTCTAAACCAGTTTACTGAAGACAAGCCAACTCTGAATTTCTTCTATCAACAGGTACAGGAGGATGCTTTAATAACACTTTTTTTCTTTGTTTCTTTGAATCCTATTTATTTCATGGTTTTATTTTAGAATTAGACTAAACCTAACATTTGGGAGAATATAAATTTGTCACCGTAGAGCAGTGAGATTCTTAAAATTAGTAAGAAATTATGAATTGTTGACACTGAATTTTTGTATGCTTGGGCAGATCTTAAAAGATACTTCTTTTAAGTAGAGACAGGAAGTCCTAAGTGCCACAACCATTGTTCTGTCTTTAATTCAAGTGTAATTATGCCTGAATATCAACAAATTTGTCAGATGTTTATTCAGAGCCAACTATACCCATATAATCTCAATAGCACTTTGCGCAACAAAGCAGAATTGACTTTTTTACACTAAAAGGAGCTTTCTTTTTACCCTGTATTAGTTAGACAATAAATACTTGTGGCATAAATGAACCAAAACAGTTTTCCAGTCAAATAAGTGTTACTTGTAAGTATGTGTGAAGAGTTCAAAAAAAGTCTAATGAATATCAGCGAGACTTTGTATATACAATTTTGCAATTAAATACGCTGGAAAATTTTTTATTTTAATAAAATTATTCATTAAATGCCTATTCGGGGTCAAGAATGCAGAAATTAATGACATAATCTGTACTTCTAAATTCCTCAGTCTAGTGGATTTCCTGTAAACAGCATCTTTGTGTTCAGTCCTGTGCTGTTTATAAGCGCAAATGGTGTGGCCATGCCTGGGCGGAGGTGCTAACACAGGGGTGGTTTGGGGTCCAGGCGGCTCCCCTGCAAACTGTCCTTTAACGCAGCGGTCCCCAACATTTTTGGCACCAGGGACCGGTTTCGTGGAGGGCAGTTTTTCCATGGAGCGGGGAGGGTGATAGTTCAGGCGGTGATGTGAGGGATGGGGAGCGATGGGGAGCGGCAGGTGAAGCTTCGCGCCCTCCCGCCGCTCACCTCCTGCTGTGCAGCCCAGTTCCTAACAGGCCGTGGGCCGATACCAGTCCACGGCCTGGGGGTTGCGGACCCCTGCTTTAAGGAGTCTCCAACTTTGTAGGTGAGGAAGAGAGGTACTTTGGAAAACATGGTGCATTTAAATCTGAGCTAAAATGATTTGAAAGGAAATGGGTGAGAGAGATGAGACCACATCACGTAAAGAGAGGGTTTTAGGTTTTCTCCTGCAGATAATTGGGAGCACTTATAGAATTTAATTAGCAAATGTCATGATCAGAATTTTTTTTTTAAATAAGACCACTCTGATGTGATGGCTGTACCAGGGATGGATTGGGTCTTAAAAAGGCTGTAACCTAGTGGGGGCTTGTCACCCATTTAGGCAGGAAGCTAGAAAGCTGGGAGGTCCAACGGTGTGGTAGGAAGCAAACTTAGTGGATGGATTTGCTAGGACTAGAGACTGAACGAACTGGAGCATGAAAATGAAGAAGAAAGAGGCCGATGGCGTCAACCCAGTCACTCGGTGTCAGGAAGGAGAAAAGGTGGGTGGGGTTTGGTAGGAGAGCAAGGTAGATGGTTTCATTTCTCTGTTGAGGTAAGTGGATATTCCTGCTTTTAAGATCCAACCTGTGAGAGCAGCATCCAGCTCTTGAGATGTTTTCTTGTCCGTGAAGTAAAAGTCATATAGGAAATGTAAGGTGTTAGGTGAGGTACTTGTGGGAACTTTTGAAGGTTTAGAATAATACGGAGTCGAATGGGAGAGGGATTTGCGTTCAACGAAGCAGAGGGAAATCCTGTTTGGACTCCAGCTGAGCATGTGTGAGGCCTACTTGTTATGGAGCGGTTTCAGTTTACAGGCTGCCTCTCTTCTGCGTCCCTGCATCTGGCCCCCTAGCCGTCTGCCCAGCTTCATATTTTGGTGAAGGAGGTGACAGAGTTTAGTTAACAGATGTATTTATATTGTATTCTTCTCTCTCGTAGATGATCTATATCACTGGTATCTATATCTATATCCGTGACTCCTTTAGTGACATTGATTTCCAGGATGCATGAGATGGGCCTAAATAGCTCTCAGTTATTCCTTTTTATAATTTCTAGGCTAACCTAAAAGTTGGCAACTTTTATGTTCCTTTCACGCTGTTACTAGGTTGTCCTACTTTTTCCTTTCGGAAGACCTTGCTTCTATGTATACGATTAAAAGCTAGCACACGTACCGGTGTATCCCAGATTTCCTCTTACTAATAGGACGTATCTTACTGCAGTCTGTGATTTGGGTGAGTGGCCTCTATAAAGCCCGAGAGGTGTGAGGTGTCGTTAGCCCGCATACTGTGCCTGTTCTGCATCTCACAGCTCTGTGACTCCAGGTGCCTCCCTTAGTTTCTTCGCATGTAGGTGTATAACACCTCCTGCATAGGGTCTTTATGTTAATTAAGTGAGGTCTGATTGTCTACCATATAACTGCCCAGTAACACCTGGAATTTCAGTCTGTACACAGTTACCAGGCTTTTGAGGATTCAGCGTTTCCACTTGGGTGGCACAATACAAATGTGAGCTGCACACTGTGGGATGGGACACACCTCTTCCTTCCCATTTGCTCTGAATGCAAACCTTCCAGCCCCTCCACCCCACCTTCTGCTTTCATCCATTCCTAGAATTTCTCTTCTTCAGCCTGTCCCCTTTTAAATTTTTTAAAATTGTTAAATCTTACATTACAGTTTTAGAAAGTCCAGAAAATATTCTAAAACGTCACTTAAATTATCTCTGTCCTAATAATTACTTTCATTTTGTGTATGCTTTTATAATATCCTACCAAGTACTTGTAATTTAAGGGAAATAGAAGTGTAATCATAGTAACACCTCTTTCCCGTGTTGATGGCCGGTGTTACTACTTATCCAGGCCTATAACTAGTGAACTGCAGCTCTGTTCATGGGTATGGAAGTTGTGATGTTAAATGCTATTGTTTAAAACAGGCCATATAAAAAATAAAGCGTGTAATATTGTTCCATTTATGTGAGAAAAATGTACATTTATTTTACCCTCATCTGACAAAGTTTTAGAAATAGTATGATTTTTGCATTGCTGCTTTGGCAAGTAATTTTATACTTATTTGACTTCTTGTGATAATCTTTCAGTGCAGAGTCTGTCCTGGTCTGTGCATGGAAGTTCTAGAACTAGAATTTCTTTCTTTCTAGAACTATTAGAGGTGATCCAAACGTTATCCTACCCAGGCAGTACCCAACTTGGGAACAGATTTAATTTCAGTGTTGAAAAATCAGTTAGGAATTCAGAACTTCCTCCTATTTAAACAAATATGCCAAAAAAAAAAGTATAAATAAAAAACTGGCCCTTCAGCTATTTATAGCCAAAGTCTTTTGAACTGAGAATGCAGCTGAAATATCTGTAAGAACTTGTGTGTGGAAATTTTCACCAAATTCTGAGAGAAATTATTTTATAAGGGCCTCAGAATTTGATGACACCCATTATTTAATTTTAAAGTTATGTAATTTTTGATGCAAATATGTTGAGATGCATACACATATGCGTACATCCAATTTCACTGAATTCCAAGCTAAATTGATCCACTTTTAAGGGGCTCAGGTTTTGATGACATGTTTAGATTCTATAACATCTGATACATGTGTTCTTTAGTAAGGTGTGATAATAATCAAATGAATACCTCTGACCCCACTGCCTAGAGGAAGAGAACATGCCTGATGTTTCCTGGTCCCATGTCCCTGTGACACCCCCCAATCCCAACCCCTTCACTCCAGGCAGACAGCCATGGTCCTGAATTGTGTATTTATCATTCTCTTACTTTTGTTTGCTGGTTGTCACATTTTACAGCATACGTGTGCACATCTCAATTCTGGCCTTAGGATAGAAGCTGACTCTAGCTCTCCCCTGAGCCCTCTGCATTCCATCATTAGTCTGAGTAGGTTTTTTGGTTTGGTTTTGTTCGTTTGTTATTCAGCTCATAGAAGCTTTTCAGAAGACTTTAAAAAATATTTTATTCAGCATTTTTAGTTGTTTTCAATGAGCACTGTGGCCAGGACATTGGGTCCACTGTGTTGGTAGAAATGGAAGTGATCACATAGGGCTTTAAAATTTTATCCCTTTTGGTTCATTTCCACAATAATTTGCACTGTGGTTAGAGACTGTGGTTCATTTGAACTCGTTGTTCAGACTTTTTGGACTTGTTTCATCGTCTTGCATGTTGAGATTTTGCCAGGCGTTCAGCTTTGCTTGAGCGAACGTGTCTGCTCTGGCTGTGCATTGAGCTCGGTAGATAGCCATCAGTTTGAGCTTGTTCATTGTGCTGTTCACAGCTCCTGTGTCTCTGTTCTGTCTTCCTGCTTGAAGGATGGTGTTGCTGGGAGAACCGCGGTTCTGGTTCAGAACCACACGGGAGTCGTTCTCCCTTAGAACTTCGGCGGTGTTCTCTGCTGTGTATGATCCCTGTGGCTGCCGTTGAGAAATGGCTGTCGTAGTCTGCTCATCTGTCTCCTCTCTCTGGGTGGCTTTAAGATCCTTACTTGTCCTCAGTGTTTTGCAGTTTTCTTACAAACTAGGTGGGATTCCCACTTATTTTTCCTGCTTGATCTGTGTTGTGTGGCCAGGACCTCTGGGTTCCTGTCGTTTTAATCGGTCCTGGAGATGTCTTCGTTGGCGTCTGCTCAGATACTGCCTTTTCTTCCTTCTTAGTTATTCCTCCTGAGATTTCAGTTGAGATCTCCATCAGAACATCTCAGACTGTATCTACTGACGCCTCTTTTTTGTTCTCAACTCCTGTCTCCCTGAGATCTGGATTCACATAAATCTTTCAGATCACCAACCCTCCTCAGCTGTGGCCAGTTTCATGTCTAGTGCATTTGTTGGATTTTTATTTATTTTTCAAGTTTTCTCTCTCCCCGCACCCGCCGTTCTTCAGTCTGCCAGGCCATCTTTTGTGGCCCTTATTGTTAACTAGTTTTTCTGTCCCCTCTTTTTTTTTTTTTTTTTTTTTTTTTTATCATTTCCAATGGAGTTGATGTCTCTATTCTGAATCCGAATTG